TTAAACCTAGCCTGGATACCACTTTATTGATTCAATAAAACCCCAACCAAAATCAACTGATTCTTAACATGGCAGGGCAAAAGACTCAGAATACTTTACTCAACACTGAATAAGAACAAAGGTGGAAGACAGACATTATTGAGTTCAAGACTCACTATAAAGCTACAGCAGGCGGGACAGTGTCATCCCAGTAAAATACACAGGTCAGTGGAACTTGAGAGAGAGCCAGAAAGAGGCCCACATAAATACAGCTGATGCTGTTTGTCAAGGGAGCAAAGGCAGCACAGTGGGGCACAGAGACTCCCCATTGTGCTGCCTTGGGACGATGGGAATACTGGGATGATGAGAAGCCGACAGGCAGAAACGAGGACTTAGACACAGAATTTACAAAGATGAACTCAGTTTGGTCCCAGCACCAAGGGAAAAAAAAACAACAAAAAACAGGAAAAGAAAAAAACTCGGAATGGATTTATGCAAAGTGAAAAACTATAAAACTAGAAGAAAACCTAGCTGACCTTGAGTACAGAGATGACTTTTATATCCAACATCAAAGGCGCAGTCCATGAGGGAAACAAATGGTAAGATGGCTTGACTGAAATTCAGAACTCCTCAGCCAAGTGTAGCGGCTCAGGCCTTCAGTGCTCAGAAAGCTGAGGCAGGGGGATTAAGAGTTTGAGGCTAGGGCTGGAGAGATGGCTCAGTGGTTAAGAGCACTGACTGCTCTTGCAGAGGACCCAGGTTCGATTCCCGGCACCCACATGGTGGCTACAAACCGTCCTTAACTCCAGTTCCAGGGGACTTGAAGCCCTCTTCTGATCTCCATGGCACTGCACGACACAGGTGCACTCACATACATGCAGTCAATACACTCATACACATAAAATAAAAATAACAAAATATTTTAAAAAAACAAAAAAGAGTTTGAGGCCAGCTGGAGCTTCAATGTGAGGCCATTTCAGGAGAATCACTCATCCATTCCACCCCATCCCCCTACACAAATGACAAACTTCTGCTTTACAAAAGACAACGTCAGGAAAACAAGGAGGCAAGCCACAGACTGGGGAAAATATTTACCAAAGACATATCTGATAAGGGACTATTAGTCAAAATAGACAAAGCACTCTTAAAATGCCACAATAAGAAAACAAACACCCGATTTTAAAAAATGAGCAAAGACCTGAGGGACTTCTTAATGAAGACATACAGATGGCAAATAGCAGCAGTGTCCAACACCGCATGTCACTAGGGAAGTGCAAATTAAAACAGTAAGACAGTATTACCAGTAATACATACCAGACAGAATGTCCAAAACTCAAAACATGGACATCACCAAATACTGGCAAAGATTTAGAACAACAAAAGACCTCATTGCTTGGGTGATGGTTAATACAGAGACTTGTAAGTGGTCAAGTGCTGAGAAGAAGTCTGTTGAGGACTGAACCCTAAATGAGACATCTGTATCAACCTCCCCAAGGCTCAGAGAACATCACAGAAGATGGGTGGAAAGAATGTAAACGCTGGAGGACGGGGAGGAGTGTGTAAAACACCGTCTTTTGGATACATTGGCCACTGCACTCATTAACTCACAGTAGCTGTGGTCAAACCTGAACAAGGTGGGGCCTGTCAGGATTCCTCCATGGGTTGGGGAGGCACTGAGACCCCATTCCTCCTGGAGGTGCAATATTGACAGCTAGTGGTTGCTGGGGGAGGAGGAGCCATTTTCTTCAACTGTGTGGCTGCTGGTAAGTTGCCTGTGCTCCAGTAAATACCTTAACCCATACCTCACACCCCACACCCCACACCCATGTGCTTCAGTAAATACCTTACCCTATACCCATGCAAGCAACTCCAATTTTATGTACTTTTTATTTTTTCAAGTATTGTCTTTGTTTCACTTGAACAAATGTTTGTGTATGAGTGTATTGCCGACATGTGTGTAAGTGTACCTGTGTTGTGCAATGCCCTCAGAAGTCAGAAGAGGGCATCAGATCCTCTGGAACTGGAGTTATGGATGGTTGCTACTGCCATGTGTGTGCTGGGAATCAAACTTAGTTTCTCTGCAACAGCAGCCAATGCACTAACCACTGAGACAATCTCTCCAGGCCAAGCAACTGTAATTTTAAAAAGTACATGAAATTAGGAGGGGGATTTGTTGGGAAGAAGGGGTTCAATGGGAATTCAAGGGGAATAAGATGGTAACAGGGAGTAAAAATGACTGCATTATATACATGTATGAAATTGTCAAATAAAAAAGAACTTATTGCTGGTGGGAATGTAAGGTGGTACAACCACCTTGCAAGACAATTTGATGGATTCAGACAAAACTAAACTAAACACACTCTTTACCATATGACCCAGCAGTTACACACTCAGATGAACTGAGAGCATGCCCACACAAAAACTAACACATAGGCTATTTTTAGAAGCTTTATTTATAATTGCCCAAGCCTGGACGCAATCAAGAATGCCTTTCAGCAGATGAATGGGACCCTGTCACATCTAGACAATGGAGCACTATTCAGTGCTAAAAAGATAGATGTCAAGATATGGGAAGTTGTAGAAAGGGCCTTTCGTGTGTATTACTAAGTGAAGGAAGCCAGTCTGAAAGTCTCCATACTTATGACCCCAACCATCGAACTTTCTGGGAAAGGCAACTATGCATGAAAAAAACCTGTTTCCAGAGACTGGGATGTGAGAAAGAGGGACAAATGAATAGAACAAAGAGGGCTTTCGGGGCAGTGAAACTCCTTGTGGAACTGTAATGGCCCGCTTGTTATATAAGCTGTCTGAACCAACACCCAGTGCAGTGCTAAGAGTGAAGTGGACCTGAGGTGACTGGACTACAGGTAACAATCATGTGTCAGCAAAGCTTCGTGGACGTCATGACTGTTCCACTCTGGGGCAGCTTATTGGGATGAGAGTAGGCTGTGTGTGGTGGCTAAGGGAGTATGGGAAGTATCTACCTTCACCTTCATTTTGCTGTGAACCTAAACCTGTTCTAAAATATGAAGTTTGTGAAAACAAAACCCCAATGTGGACATTTGTAGGAATTACGATGGTCCAGTAGAGATGGGCACAGCAGGTGAGGAGGGGAACTGATGAGGAGCAGACTGAAGCTGGCTAGGGGGCATTGTGGAGCATAGCTGTAATCCCAGCAGTATGGAGGTGGAGGCAGAAAGATCAAGGGCAGCCTGGGCTGCATGAGACCGTCTTAAAAAAATCTTATATTTGATAAAACAATGATGCCTGCCCCCCAAAATCTGCGACAATGATCAGAGTACATGGAGGAGATCGTAGGAAGATCCACAGCAGGGTGTGGGTATGCACAGAGAACATCTGCCTGAGCTGGGAAAGGGAGGACTAAGCTGAAGAGGGAAAAGCACACAGTAAATAATAAAGAAAATATGATATGGCCCTCTTTGTATATTTACATAAAAAATGATGCACACAATGACTGAACTCAAAGCCACATTACGTTAACCCAGTGGCCCGTCGTCTGGTGGCAGCTAGACTGAGCCAGCAGGGGTCTGGAGGCCTCCACTTGTGCTGCAGGTGAGGAACCACCACCAGGGAGGTGTCTCTGCTCACAGTCACTATGTGACTGACTGGTGAAGACGAAGGAACCCCAGCTTGGTTGAATGCTGGGTAAAATGCCTGTCAGACAGAGGTGGGCAACCCCACGAGGCTAAGTCCTACAGACATGCCTCAAGAGCCTACCCACCATCTACTTCCTGGGCAAACAGGAGAAAATGGGAAAACTGAAGAATGACACCAAGAATAGCAAAGTTCTTACCAAGTAACAAAAGCACTTTGAACTGGAAAAGCAAAAATGTTATTACATAAAACTTTACCTACATTCTTTACAGGGTAAAATCTCCCCACGTCTGCAGTATTCTGTCACTATCAATACCAGTGCTCAAACCTGGGAATGGCTCGGCTTGTGCCTCTCCCCACCAACCCCTGGGCAGTTGCCACCAGCCTTTCCACAGGAAAGGGAGGGAGACAGGCAGGGAGGGATGAAAGGGCACAGCCAGCCCTTTCCTGAGAGAAGGGACAGTTGCCTGTGATGCAACAGGCTTCTCTGGAAATGCCTGATGTCCACTGGGTCCTGCACCAAGTTTCAAGGACAAGTGAGTTTGTTCCTAAAAGGGTCTAAATGTAAGTGGTCTGCAGGGTGCTGCAGGGAGGGAACACTGCTGAGAGAAGAGATGCTGCCTAGGACGCCCCCACCCATAGAGCACCCATGGTGTAACAAGACAAATAAAGCCTGGTGCACACATGTCCCAGGTCAATTTGTTTGAAACTCAAAACTCAGCAGGGTGGGTCCCCTTCTCTGTAGGGTGCTGGCAGCTGTGGCTCTTGGATTGGCGACCACTGGCTGACAGGCCCCAAGTGGAGGCGGAAGGGGCTCCAGGCCAACCCTGTGGCAGCTCCAGGCCTCTCTTTGGTTATGTAACATTCATTTTTCCCCACGTCTGAAAAGGTCTGGACATTTGGGTCTCCAGAGGAAAGAAAATGACGGGTGTATTTATCTCTAATGCTGAAATTATGCAGGGCAAGGAAAGCAAACACTGAGGGGCCTGGACAGCTGACAAGCTGGCTGGAAGGATTCTGCACAGGGCCAGCACTTAAATCACACAGCCCAGGGAGCAGGGGCTTGGCCATGGTGCACAGGGGAGAGCACTTGTCCATTTCCCTGATGGACTTTTCTGGCAGATGCTGCTGGGTATCTGGAAGCTGGGTTGAGGACAGGGATACACATGCTCCTGGGGACCCAGTGCATTCCCAGAGCACAGGCTGTGTCCACAAGCACCTGCAGCTCTTTCACGGACATGCAATGGCTCTGCACACAATATGTGCAGGTCCAGACACAGAGCTTCAGCCTGAAGTATCATGTTAGAGCACATCTTAGTCACTTTGGCTGGACAATGGGTAAGCAACCCCCCCCCAGTGATCAAACCTTCAGAGATCCCCTCCATTACACAGTCTGGCCTTAACTGCGCAAGAAGATGCTGAGGTATCCATTCCAGGAATGAGCACACATCCAGACTGCATGACCAGGCTGAGGTCATCACCTGTGGTGAAGGAACTGGATACTTTGTTTTAAAGTAATGCTTCCTACACTGAGGCCTATGCTGGGCTTTGGAAGAAGGGACTAGAAAACAGAGAAGTGAAAAACAAATGATGCAACTCCAAAGGGACCCACAACTAGAATTGGACACATCTGGGAATGTGGGGACAGGAAAATGGCTGTACACAGTTGTATTCCGGACACTCTCTCAAAGATGAGTTTCAACTGGGGAGGGGCACAGGGAAAGGAGATCATATAGTTAGATTCTTTCCTTTGACATTTCTGGTCAAGAGTTTTGAAAGCAAATCCTGTGGTGGTCCTGTTTTGCTGACCCTGGATGTCAGGTTCTCCCACCCCAGTGGGGCACCCGTGGCCCTCTTCCTGGGTGGCACTTGCAGGTGGCTTCCTGTTCCATGCCTCAGTTTCTTGAGAACTGGAGATCCTGAGGCACGCTGTAAGTTGGAATGATCCGGGATCACTATTTCTCTTCAAAAAAGAGCCCAAAGCTGCTTTATATTGTTATCAAATAGGTGATTTCTATTCTCACAACCTTTGTTGGTTTTTGTTAGCAGTGGGTTTTTTCCCATCTCACAATAGCCCTGGCTACCCTCAATCTCACAGAGGTCTGCCTGCCTCTGCCTGCCGAGTGCTGGGATTAAAGCCATGCGCTACCATGCCCAGCACAAACCATTGCTTTTAATAAAATAAAAACCATCTCTTTAATAAAATCAAGAGTCGGGTAAGGGCAAGCTCTGCCTCTTCCATCAACAAGAATAGCTGTGGTGTCCATTCAAGTCTTGACTGCTGGAGCTCGGGTCACTTGAACTCAAATGGTTCAAACCAACAAAAACCTACTCCTTACCTTGCTTCCCTATAAAAGAGGGCAATCAATGCAGGCCAGAGGGTCACAAAGTGGACTGCATACCCTGCTGGCAAACACTCTGGCTCTGCAGTCCTTTCCCCAACCATATTACATCAGCTTTGAGACAGCTGAAAAACATCTCTGCAGAAAGTCAGGCCCTAAAGATCAAACTCAGGGAGGTGCCCTCCGTCGTCCAGGCCAGCTACCCTAACTCATTCCTTCTGAAGACATGGGAAGGAAATTGACAAGGGCAGTGTGGCCTCAGCAGTGAGGGCCCTGGTCAGCCGAGGGAGGGATGGAAGGGACAGGAGGGATGGGAAGCCCAGTTTCTGAGAAATCTGGAAGGGCGGGGGAGGGGTACATAAGAACATGATAAAACAGAGTAGCCAGGAATTAGCCTTTGAATTGCGATCCAGTCTGCAGCCTGCATCACTAAGACTCCAACAGCCATGGACTCTATCAAGGAGCACATTTGTTTTCCTGTGAGGATTTTCCCCCTCTACAGGGCTTCACACATGCCAGCACTCTACCACTCAGCTACAGCCCAGATCTAAGAGATACATTTCTTAAACATATTTGATTATCCACCCCTCACTGCTTCCAAGTTCCATTCTGCTTGTCAAATTGTAATGCTTCATTTAACCAGTCATGGCTTTCCAAAAAAGTACAGGGTGATGCGGCCAGAAGACAGCGGACAACAGACACATCTAGTGAAGGATGTGGTGGGGTCCGAACCTAGTGCTGCCCTCCCCTGGCCAGGAGCCAGTAGAGAGACCATGTCCATACACATGGTGGGAGCCACCAGCCTATTTCCAACGTCATAGTGTCTGAAGGCCTGAGGGAGTCCCACCTCTCATGGTCGGATGCTAGCAAAGTCCTGGTTGAGCAGGCAGGCTGCAGTCCTTCCTGAGCCATCTGGGGGCAGAGGCTTGGCCCTGGCCAATCTCCAGCACACAGTGACACTACATGCACTGGAGGGAAGGTAACTAAGTAACCAACCCTAGAATGTGGTTTTATTGTTTTTATTCCCCCCCCACCCCCTTCAGCCTGGTTTTTAGCCCTCCAAGCAGTTCCTAGAGGTAGTTCTGTTTCCTATAGTTCTGAGAGAGTAGTTCCATCACAGATGACCAAAGGCTGGACCCCTCTGGCTACAATGTAGATCTTCCAGTGGGTGGCATCGGCATAGCCTTGGAGGGAAACAGCAACAGGAAAACAGGTAAATGTCAGGGACAGGACACGCCTGCAGGCAGAGCCATGGGTCTGCCACCCGGGCTGTACCTGCAGAGTCGGTGCATCTTGCTCTGAAGGTCTCTTTCTTTGTAGCATAAGTATTCCTTGCTCTACTAGTCCTCCAACAAGATCCACTCTGAACCCAGATACTGTCTCTCTACTCTCTCTCGGACAGCTGAATCAACTTGGGCAGGTCACAAAGGCAAACTGCTCTAGGTGAAGAAGGCACTGGCCATGAGTTCTCAGGCTGATAGCCAGGTTTTTTTTTTTTTTTTTTTTTTTTTTTTTTTTTTATAGGGCCTTGTGTGTGCTGTGGGGAAGAGCCCTGGGGCATAGTGTTTTGGGGGTTAGGCCAGGTTTTTTTTTTTTTTTTTTTTATTGTTTGTTTTTTAATAGGGCCTTGTTATATGGCCCAGGCTGGTCTCAAGCTTGGGATCCTCCTACCTCAGCCACTTGAGGGCAGGGATTTCAGGTGTTTGCCACCATGCCCAGGTCTGGCTTTATCTTAAGTTTTGTTTTTGTTTTAGCAAGACAGGATGGGTCCTGAGGGGGAGCAGGGACCACCACTGTCCCACTCTTATGAGGTTATTATGATTTTATTATAGCACACACAGATTAATTTAAATCAGCATTTGCCAAAATGGGTTCTGCAAACAGTGTCCTAAGAATTTAAAAGCAAGTGGCTTCCATGGTTCCTCTGCGACTTCTCAGTTTTTGGTATATTCTGTGAGCTGTGCATCAAGACAGCCATTTCCAGTCTTGACTCATGAAGCCTATGTGGCAAGGGCCTTTGCAAAATGCTCCTTTTTCCACCCCTGGGGTCATGAGTGATTCTAAGAACTGTTTAGAGAACTCAGACCTATTGGCATCTAAGTGCACAGGGAAAGTGAACGTAGAACGGTAGCACCTCAGTGATCTGCTGATGCCCGAGGAGTACAATACTGTCTCCTGTGCTTAAACATTTAGAACTGGATCTCAGACTAGGCTGGTGGCGCACACCTGTAATTCCGGCACTTGTAAGGCTGAGCAGGAAGACTGTGGGTTTGAAGCCAGCCTAGATTACACAGCCAGACCCTGTCTCAAAAAGTTCAAAAAATAAATAAAGGAAGAAAGAAAGAAGAAAAAAGAAAAGATTAATCTGAGGGTGGTGGGACATGCCTGTAAACTCAGCCTGTAAACTCGGAAGACTGAGGCATGAGGATTGCTGCAAGTTGGAGGCCAGCCTAGGCTACACAGTGATGCGTAGGCTAGCCAGAACCTGTCCTAAAAAACTCAAAATAATAAATAGTAGCCGGGCGTGGTGGCGCACGCCTATAGTCCCAGCACTTGGGAGGCAGAGGCAGGCAGATCTCTGTGAGTTCAAGGCCAGCCTGGTCTACATAGTGAGTTCCAGGATAGCTGGGGCTACAGGGAGACCCTGCTTC